ATAATAATAATAATAATATATAAATATCTGTCCAATAAATACAATTTAACACTTGTTGATCCTGCCAGAAATCTATTGAACTGATAACTTTCTGTGCTCTCTGCCTCTTTCAACTGCTATTAGCATAATTTGTAGCTGTCTCTTTGGACTACAGAATACCTCTCCCCATGTCAAGAAGAGGATAGGGTTGAGGTGTTTATGTAGTCTTAACATACTTCCTGTCCTGGGGGACAGAAAATGAGTCACTGGCAGAATCAACAGGTGACACTGAAAAAATGAATGCAGCCACCACATTGTGGGCTTGTTCACACCAAGCGCGTTCCAAAAGCAGTTAGACTGTTTTCAAAACTGCGTCCAATGTATTCCAATGGTATTTTGGGCTCTAGTTCATACAGCAGCGTTCAGTTCCGGAGCATGTAAAAAAAGCTGCAGCAAACCCTATTTTACCTGCTCTGGAATGCATGCAACCTCATCAAAAATGCATGCAAACATACTGGAACGCACTGAAAGCCCATTTTAAACAAAAAAAAGAAGTGTTTTTTTTCCAAAAACGGCCCAGAACGCGGCAAAAACGCAGTGTAACACACTGCACTGGTATGCAGAAACTCATGCAGATCTGGTCTGCATTTGGTGTGAACAAGCCCTTAAGCAATGATTCAATATATTACATCTTTGTTATTGAGTTTAGATACACTTTAAGGGGTTTATTTATAAACAATTCTACAATGAATCATTATTTCCTGTGCTCAGCAGCTCAATCTAGTGGCCATAATGTATCAATATAACACAATACATTCACAATGGGAAAAAAAAATTAAGAACATTCATTTTTGGCATTATTCATCCAAAATGAATGCTCACAGATGTGCGCAGAGCAAAGGGCCCTGCAAAATGAATAAAAATAGACCCCTAAGTGTTAGGGGAAGCTTTAATGTAATGTAATTTTTAAGAAGTCATTGTGACCTGGAGGTTTTTAAAATGTTCCTTTTTTTTGGTGGTTCCTGATTTTGATTTGGCATCAGCCTTGCATTCTCTATACAGAAGATCTCAGACTGGGAGAGGGTGACACAGGACACTGAGCCAGCAGTTGTATTTTAGTGTCCATGGGCTAACAAGGGACAAGCTTATAGGAGGAGAAAGTGAAGTGACAAACAGAAGAGCTCACCAGTCTGCGGCCTCTCTCTTTACTCTCCAGACCACAGACTGGAAAAGGGACAAGACCCGTAAGCATTCCTTCACTGCAGCACAGAATAATCAGGTCTCCTGCCCTGGCAGGAAGGACTGTGCTGTGTGGCAGAGCTGTGTAAGTCTCAGCTGTGGCATCACAAGGATGGTGCGGGGGGTGTGGCCCACACCCGAGTGACACCATTGGAGGGTTGACCCCAAAATGACTGACAGTCATTTTGGTGTCACCCCCTCTGAAAAGTTGGGCACTCGGTCATGAAACGAGAGCCCAAAAGTTGCAGGAGAGAGGAGGGGACCCGGTGGCATTCCTCATCCCGCTGGGTGAACGTCCCCTCCCCTCTCTTCCAGGGTCCATTGCCAAGATGGTCGCTAGCAGGCATCACCAAGATGGCCACGCGTGGTGATGTCACACGCATGCGCGATGACACCACAGCGGGGTGTTACCCGGTATACGATCCAGGTGACACCCGGCCTCGGGACACCCCTGAGTCTCAGGACTGAATGAAGAACAGAAATACTATTCCTGCTGTGTCAGAGTTAGGGCTCTCCAATCAACAGAGAGAATGAGTTGAACTGATTTGAAATCATTGATGCCGACTCAGCAGGGGGCGTGTCTGACCTCGGCAGAGAGACCACTGTTCTACTCTGCAGCATGCTGGCACGGGACAGGCTTTTCCACTCAGGCTGTGGCTGGTTTCTAAAGAAAACAAACTAAGACTTTGCACACCTTTTGTTTTGATGCACCTGGAATGTATTCAGCTGATTTAAACTGAAAGTTCAACTAGTCTTCAACATACTGTTTATTTATTTCTCATCTTTCTTTCTTTAGGAATTGAGAGCTTCAGGCTACATAAGAGAGATGCTGCAGAGGATGAGGGCATTTTGTCTACAGTACAAGGATATGTCAATTCAGCATTCAGCAGCATCAGCTTTGCAGCAGAGGGACTGTATGACAAAGTAAAACAGACTGGAGTTCCTGACAAAGTGCAGTGAGTATATGAGAAACAATATAAATGGATACCTCCTAAGTTAACTTCATGTTATATTTTCAGTACAATATGTGGTCAAAAGTGCAATGGTGATTTTGTTTTGTGTTCCCCTCAGAAACCTGCACAAAGTGAAATATAGAAGCCATCATTGCTGATCTCCTTCTGAAGATGTTAGTTGGCCTTCGGAAGTCAGAAAGTTCTGAAGCCATGGGATCATTATCGCAGCTAGGGAATTGTATTTTAAGAAAGGGAGGTCAGCAATGGCATCCCCCATGGTACCTTAGTTAAAAGAGAACTATGGGGTAACCTTTTGATCCCATTAGTTCTCTTAAGGGTCACGGGAGGATATACACTCAGGGGCTTATCTGCCGCAAGGCAAACAAGGCTTTTGCCTTGGGCGGCAGATTCAGGGAGGATGGCAAAAATGCCACCCCCAAAACAGTTAAACACTCGTGCGGAGGAGACGGCGGCGTCAAAGGACGGAGTCCGCAAGGAGGCAGAGGAAGTGGCGACAGTGGAGGAGGTAAAAGAGGCAGAGGAGATGGAGGGAGCAGCAGAAGGGGGCTAGGTGGAGCAGCAGAAGGGGTGGGGCGAGGCGGGATGACGTTGGATCAGGAAGGGGTGGGGCCAGGGCGTCATCGCAACGTAGGAAGCCTTTGCATACTCGACAGAACACCAGGTCACAGAAGAGTCGTCAGGCTGCGGAGGAGGCCAGGTGCGGCAACACCAGTCCAGCGGTGGAAGAGGCCAGGGACCAAGCAGCAGGTAAGATGATCACACTGCTGCTAAAGGGACCCTGCAGAGCCTAGCATGGATTCTGTACAGCCCACCTGCGAGTCTTGTTTTTGTGCACTCCGCTGACAGCCCGCTGACAGTCACATCTAGTACTGTAACCACACGCATAGAGTCTGGGGCTACGGAGCCGATCGCGGCTCACTGCTTTCCCGTCTCAGCCGCCGCGGCTCAGCCTGGCCAGCTGAGTTCGTGACATCGGCTGACACCTCGTTTTCCCACTCCGGTCCGGGCAGACACCCACTCTCTTCCCACCTGCCAGCTGTGGACATCGCATTAAACAGACCGTGGAGAACATATTGTGAGAGACACCAGGGCATATAGGCTCACATCCCAACTGTAAGTCATCAATTTGTCCCCTTTCATATGACAAATCAGTTTTGGTTGTCTGTATTGCACACTGTTATGCATTTTCCCAAGTTCAGCACATTGGGCCATTACTCTTATCATAGGTAGTCGCGCTCCTCAAAAACGTGTTTTTTGTTTGTCTTGAGTCAGTTTTTATTGAAAAGGTTGCAATAAAATAAAAATAAAACAGAAAATACATTCTTGCCATCCAGGCTCTAACTAAGCAGGCAGGCTTCCTCTCCAACAGCTGGTGAGCTTATCTCAGCCACCTCACAAAACCAAAGTATTTTCAGCAACCTTTTACTCACAACCATCCAACTTGTAGCTCTCTCAGAATGCTGTCTGAGTCCCAGGCCAGAGACACATCATACTTCAGCCTTCCCCTTTTATCTCACCTTGATAATCAACCATTAAGCAATTAACAATCCAGGTGAGAGACAACAAACCCGAGCTGGATTATTCTGACCCAGTCAACCGAAAACCTGGTCTGGGTTCCGATAGTCCTGTACATAGGATAGAAAGGTAAGGGAAATATATTGTACTTCTGTGACCCAAAAGAAAAATATAGCCAAAAAAAACATTGGCTTTACTTCTCGTTTAAAGATTTAAAAGGGAAGCAAACACATTTTGGAAATCTGCATTCCCTTTTTCACTGCTAAAATAACAGACATAATTCATCGTACACGAAGTATAAAGTGGAGTCATAAATGTATTTAAATAACTTGCATACTATAATTGTTTTAATATCAATAATATAATTTGTAAATTAGTAATTTCATTAGTAATATGATTTAAACTAATAATTAAAATCTATAATAAATATGAATAAAAT